TAGTGGCGGAGCCAGGATTTTGTCCTAGGGGGAGCTGAGCTCCACACTCATTGTCCAAAGTTTGCCTAAAGTAGTACAAGATTTTTTTTCGAACGTTTTCAACTCGATGCCGTTCTTGACATTCTACTATTCTGTTGAGTTACAAATTGCTCATTATTTTTATATATAAATCAGCATATGCACAGGTTTAACTTCAAATTTATTGTAAAATAACTGAACTATATCAACATGATTCTACTATTTTTGTGCGCTTTGGCAAATGCATCGACAACTTTTTCGAAATCTATTTTAAATTCTTTTTCTATAGCTAACACACCAAGATCGCTCAATCTTTCATCTCCCATCGTGTTTCGAGCATATGTTTTAATCAATTTCATTCGCGAGAAGCTTCTTTCGCACGTAACGGATGACACGGGAAATGTGATAGCACCTTTGATCAAATCAACAGTTGAAGGAAATGCTTGTTTCATTGTCTTCAATTCATTGAGTACATCAAAGACAGTTGACAGTTTAGTATCTTTAATCATGGGTTTTATAACAGCTATTTCATTTTTTATAATGTTTTTCTCCAATGATAAATGATCAATTAATGGTTGTAATGTTTCAATATCCAGAAATTTTTCATTGATTGGTGATAAAGATGTGATGCTGTTTGCTATTTGTAAGTTATGACGAGAGAATCGTTCATTTAATTCGACCAATATAGAATCAATTGTTGGAAAGTACATAGTCACTCGAAAGTTCTCTTCAGTATTATTGTAATTTCGGTGTCCAACTGTTGTTGTGACAACACAATGTTTAAAACGTGCTGGAATTGTTTTTTGACGCCGCATTCGAACAGATTCATTCATATCAATACCATTTTTATTCCCAAAAATTATTGCTTGTTGAAACAATTCTTTAAACGAATCTTCATCTCTGATAAGATTTAATTGTTCACAAATTGTTATGATAAGATTGTGTGCACTACCGAGATCAGTGCATATTCCTTTCGTATTAAAAATTAAAGTATAATCAAGCCTTTTTCTAGGGAAAAAGAATATACCTTTTAGCTGATCCGAAAGGATTTTAATTGGACCAAACAAACGATGTAAAATAAACATTGCTATTATAAACATTGAATCTTTCAGAACCACCAACAAACCTCTTGCATCAACTGCACGATTACCTCCATCATGTACCAAATCTTGTAATGCTTCAACAACTGCTGAATAATTACTTTTAATTGAGTCTATCGATGTAAATCTTGAATCCCATCGTGTATTTGCCCATTTTTTTAACGTTGAAGTTGTATCTAATTTAAAAAGAACGGACACAACTACAGAAGAGATGCCTATTTTAAATAACTCTACCCAATTTGAGCAGTTTCTGTGCATCACAGAAATATCGATTAGTAACTCCAGATGCTGTAAAATACTCATGGGTTTTACAAACGATTGAAAAGAATTCATTAATGTATGGTACAACTGAACAAACATCACATATGACTAAGTTAAGACGATGTGCCATACAGTGGATATATACAGCTCGCGGTATAAAGTTCTGTTGTAAAATCGCATGTACTCCATTGTGTACTCCTGACATAACCGAGGCTCTAAAGAAAAAAATATGAAAGATAATAGAGCCTAAGTATTTAAATTGTCTTCAATATACCCATCATAGCATTGAGCTATACACATTGAGAAAGAAATATTGTGCTTTATCAAAAAGTCACTTATTTCTTTTGCTAGAGTAGCAGCATCAAATCGACAAAGACGAACAAATCCCATGAAGTATTCTTTAATCTTATATTGATCATCAACTGCACGAAGACAAATAGATAATTGTTTATTGTGACTGACATCTGTTGCTTCGTCCGCTAGTAACACGTATACATTTCCATTTAACTAAAGAACATAATATATGTTACAGAGATGAAGTGAAAGCAATACTAATACCGAAACTAGCTTATATTATATTATATTATAGAATGTAAATTAATTTCCTAGAATTTCTATACAACAGGAACTAGAAAATCTATTTTCTTACTTTTTCAGCAATATTATCACGTATTTGATTCGCCATAATACTTAACAATTCATTTTGAATATGATGTGATATATAGGTAGCGTTGGCTGCACTTTCCTCCAACACAGCTTTAGCTAATGGATCAGTTTTAGCACACCATTTCAATATTTCAATCAAATTACCACGATTGTTTGAACTATTACAAAAAAACACATCCGTTTTATTTATATATTTCATATGAACAGAACAATACTCTAGTTTACTCACTCAATACGTTCATCATGTCCACGAAGGGCTATCAATTGTTTAGCACATAGTAAAATTGCTGAACTGATCTT